AATCCTTATTCTTTGGATCAATACGGCTGTAAAGCAGTTAAAAATTTTTACAAGATTCTTTAGAATTTTTACCCTATAAATAGACTTTCTTATGGAAGGTATGGAGTTAATATAATTTTTTTTTTTGTTCTGTTTTAACAACAACTTTTTTATCCAGACCAAAGGAACAACATGGGAAAGAAGTTTGTCCCCCGCTATGCTAATTTGTTTATGTATTGGGAATCTTGATATATATATATAAAACCAACATGATGATATGTATATATTTTTTTCCATGTATAATTTTTATTTATTTTGTTGAAGGGTAGACATGGTACAGAAACGTGATTTGTTTTTAAAAAAATGCTTTATTTTTGCGGGTAATAATACACATCAAGTTACACTGTGTGAGGTAAGGTATTCAGCAGAGGTTCAATTTTTCAACAAAAACAGCATCACATGCATATTACACCCAATTTTTATAATTTTCTAGTGTGGATTCCTCATGACTTCACAGTCAGTTAGACTAATTATTAACCAGAGGTTACTGGTTATTAGCGTACGCACCCTTAGTGTTTTCAGGTAAGGCTATGTCTGGGAGTGATGTCGCTTAGGGCACGTGGGTACTGAGCAATACAATTGTGTCATATGATAGGTAAGAACCTAGTTCTTTCGTGGCGGTTAGCCAATGTGTAGTCGTGCCAACTAGGTTGGTGTTAAACGTGCCATGTAAACGCCTCTTCGCTTGCTTGGGAAGGAAGAAAGTAAGGTGAAGGGGCGTGGGGTAAGTAACTGGTCATGGTGACTGGCTTGCAGAGCCAGGTATAAGGAGCGTACATATGTAAATTCAAACTAAGAGAAATTGAAGACATTAGTGAACTTATATCAAGATAATATAAAATCAAACATTACTATGAGTGGCAGTACGAACAGACATTGCTGGTTTCAAGTAGGGGAATTGGGTGTTCCTGTTCTTGTTCCCCTGGGCACAAATGGGCTGATGTTTGCAACAGTCCATGAAGGGCGGGTGTCCGCTGGGGCCGCCTCTGCTGGTAGGCTTAGAGCCTGAAAAGCTGTCACTTCCGACTTGTGCGTTGGGATGTGCATCCTGCCTTCTCTCTCTGCCATCAGTCAGTGTTGCCCCCACTTATATGTGATGGATTTCTCCCGAAGCAGCTGAGTAAGCTGTCTAAGACACCTTCTCCATGTGTGCCTGTAAAAAGTCAGGTGTGCTCCCTCAAAGGGAACCGTGGGTGAGCCTCTGGTGTCTCCCATGAAAACCCCCTGATCAGAGTCCTGAATAAATTTGACAAGCACATCTCTGGGAGCCTCCTAAGGTGTTTTGGTGGCTTCAGGGAGCCATCTGCTTTACTTGCTTGGGCAGCAGTAGTGTAGCTAACAGCCGTCGGCAGTAATGGGATAATTCAGAATTGGTGACTGATTCAGGCACTCCTCGGATCCTCACGTTCTGTGCCTTTGCCCTATCCTCCATATTAGCTAATTGTGTAGTCAGGGCATTGCATTGTTTTTGCAGTGATCCTAGAGCTGCATCTGTGGCAGTTTGGGCAACCCCCGCACTCTTGAGGCCCTCTTCCACTGTCATCACCTGGCCTGTGAGCGTGGAGACTTCCTCCCTGACCAGCGCCATGTCAGCATGGAACATAGCCTGCATTTCTTTTACTAGTGCCTTTACTAGTGCCACTGAGCTAGGCTGAGTCGCCTAGCTCCGTGGGTGTCACGGGCTTCCCTTGTACCTTTGGTGGAGGTGAGTAAGTGGCTGTCGGGCTCTCGTCGTCCGACGATGGTGAGGTTGAGGCCTGAGCTGGCGCCATCTTGCACAGATCAGGCCGCGTGGCCATGCGCAGAAAAGCTCAGATGTCTCGGGAACCCGCGCCAGGATCGACTTTATATTTCTTCGTCTTGTTGCCCATGGTGTAAGGCACGCATGTCTCCTGATGTACTGGCCTGTCTCCTGGTAGCGCCTAAATGTGCAGTTTTTCACCTATTTTTAGTGTTAGGTTGGATTTCCTAGCGGAGCTACTGCAGGATGCGTCCAACTCGCTCGGGTGCTGGCTTCGCACCCCCCAGAAACGTGATTTTGCATAACTAACAAAGGTCATCATTTTTAGCAATAGATTGCAGTATGCAACAACAGACATCACATAACAGTTTACATTATCCTCGGTTACAGCAGGCTGCACAGTTTTATACAGAGTTTAGCAGTGGACATTTGACATGCATCATGTCTGTTATATATGGTATATGTTATGTATCGTTCAGGCATCTAGGTAAACCCTTCTGATCTACAGTCCCTTATTGGGTGAGTATTGTTCTTTTGTAGAAAGGTTTGAGTAGTGTTTTCCGGAAAAAGTGTTCGGCATCAGTTTGGGTGCTATTGCCATGTGCTGTTCCCTATAGGAGTGTTGTTTTTAGTGTATATTTAGTGTATATGCTTGACCACCTTTGTGCCTGTTTTTCCTGGGCTAATATTTGTTATGAGTAATTATTGACCTTGAAAATGCAAAAGAAGTAAACATCAAAGAAAACGTTTGGGAATATCGAGAAAGGGGGGGTGAGAGGGAAACAGTTTTGTAAAAGAAAGCAAAGGATATGTTCCGGTGTACTCTTGGGTGAAGGTTGTTCATTTTTTATATTTCTGGTTTAGTAGTATGAGAGGCTTCTCTGTGGCTTATGTCTGGGCTATTCAGGCATTTGTGCTTCCTTTTAGTGGAGTGTCCCTCTATATATACATATAATTTTTTTTTTGTTTGTTTTTGTGTAACTTTACTTATATGAGTTCCTTCTTAAAAGCCATTTTTGCCATCGCTTTATATATTTACCCTCTTTGCATTGAAGGTGACAAGCCATTTTCTTGTATTGTCTCGAGGTGTCAAGCCTGGTTAGAACATTGCTCAGTGAAGGGACCTGGGGTTGTTTCCATCTAAATGCAATTGTGGCTTTTGTAGCTATTAGAAAATGTAGCACTACATAGTTTGTGTCCTCAGACTGATGGGTGGGGGATACGTGTAAAATATAACATGCATGGGGATGTTAACTTTCAGTGCCTCCTGACATAACTTCCTAATTTCCTGCCAGAATTGTGTGATGCAAGGGCAGTCACAGAATACATGCTGTAGGGTTCCCACTTCACCTGCACATCTCCAGCATGTGACGGAGGCCTTGGGGTACATGGGGGAGAGCTTTGTGGGTACCAGATACCATCGCATAACGATTTTGCAATATGCCTCCCAATGGGAAAGGCTTATAGAAGATTTTTTAGTGGGTTTTTTTTCAATGTTTAAACTTTTATTCAGACAAGACATACTAAAGAAATACTACCCTCTGTCATTCCGAACTACAATTCACAATAAAGGTCTCTCAGCTCAGACATATATATTTTTGTTGCCAAATTAAAGACATTTCCTCCATGTTCACAATAGTTTTGTTTAGTTTCCCCTTTTAAAGTCTTTCTTTCAGAAAACTTTATATTGATGTATATGTTTATTTTATTTTTTTTTAGTATTTTTATTTTCCAATAATTGTAGGTACAGTAATACAAGTAAATATAATAGTATTGTACAATGCAATCATTTGGGGGAGAATCAGTGAATGTATGTTGTATCTTTCCGGGTGTTCATCTTTATGATGCGAGTGGTCCCCCAGTGGGGAGTGAACAGTTCTTGCGTGTGTGGATCCGCCCTCCGATAGCAAGCATTGCAATAAGTGCAAGATTAATCTTGAACATTAAACTTTGAACAACAGTACATAAAAGAAAAACAATTTATTTACCCTGGTTGACCTGAGAACCCACTGTTGCGGAGTTGGGTGTTTGGTGTAACGGGGGTGACCTTTTGGGATAGTATAAGTTTCAGTGTTAATGTGGTATAGCCTTGTTCCTGGTTGTAACTGGGACTGTGCGTTATCAGTTCGATTGTGGTGGCTTCCCGTCTCCAAGAGATATGGACGTGTGTGGACTAAGTGACTTAGGTAATGGGCTGTCAACCTGGATTTACCAAGCTTCAGGAGGGGGTGAGGGAGGGGAGGGATGGGGAAGATCACCTGAGTGCATATCAAGTTGGTTCAGTGGTATAGAGTCTTAATCGTTGGTAGTTCTGGTTTTGAGAAATGTGAGCCAGGGAGTCCAACATGTGTAGTAAAAGTCATATGTGTGTGTTAGAGATGCATGGGTTTCCTCCATAAGTCTGTTTGATTCTACTCTCTGTATCCATTCTCTGATTGTTAAAGGAGTGTGTTGTTTCCATTTTATTGGGATTAACATATTGATGATTGATCAGTGGTCTTTAGTGTTTAGGGAGTGGGGTCGGGTATGTATAGAATAGTGATACTTTAGGTGAGAAAGGGAGTTTTACTGCCATTATTATGTGGATGAGCGTTGTTATTTTCTCCCTAATTTCTTTTATGTGATCACAAGTCCACCATATGTGGCTTGGTGTGCCTTTTTCTTTGAGGCATCGCCAACAAATTTCTGTTGTGTGAGGAAAGAGATGATGTAGTTGCGAAGGTGTATAGTGCCATCTAGTTATACGTTTGTAGTTGTGTTCATGTGTTGCGTTACTGATGGATGTGCGAAAGGCGTTGGTGAAATTTTTTTGCATTCTTCTGGGGAGAACGTTATGTTTAATTCCTCTTCCCAGCGGGTGATGAATTTGGGTTTGGGGTCATTATTGTCCTCTTGTAGGAGTTTGTGGAATGTGGAGAGTTGTTTTGTTTTTACCGTGCCTGCTTCACAGTATGACTCAAAGTTTGTGGTCTCTCTATGTACTGTCAGGAGTGTCGGGTTGGAGGAGATGAAGTGTTTGAGTTGCCTCAGATTGAAGCTGTGTAATGTGGTGGTCTGGGCGTAATTGGTTAGGTCCGTGGTGGTGAGGATGTCCCCTAGTTTGAGGTAGTAGGAGTTATTAGGCTGGAGCGTGATAAAGGTGGGAATTGTGGGTTATGTGTCCCTATGTAGAGCGGAGATGGATAAGGGGAGATATGTGGTGCGTTGCCATGATTTTAGGGTGGGTTCCACTGTCAGATGGGATCAGTGGCATAGGGGCAGGAGTTGGTTGCTTTTTTCATGCCAGGGAATCATGTATAGTGGGTCGTTGAAGTACGTTGCTTCCAACTGGACCCAATGTTTCATATTTTGTGGTTGGGACCATTCATATATTCTGGACAGTGTTATGGCTTTGTGGTAGTTTTCGATGTCTGGCAGTCCCAAACCACCTTTCAGTTTGGGCAACACTAGGATCTCGTGAGGAAGTCTGGAGTGTTTGTGGGCCCATATAAACTCAGAGAATATACGTTTTATTGATCCAAAAAATGTTTTGGGTATGGCCATGTGCAATGCCTGTAGGAGATATAGCAATTTGGGGAGGACGTTCATTTTTAGGATATGTATGCGAGACAGCCACCCAAATAGCGGCTTACGCCACTTGAGTAGGTCATCTGAGATTGATTTGACCAAGGGGGGAAATTAAGATTGTAGATTCTTGTCAAGTCTCTGGGAAGTTTGACTCCCAGGTAGCTAACTGCTTCATCTGCCCAGGCAAATTGAAACTTGTTTTTAAGTATGGATTTGGTAGAGGTAGTGATGTGTATAAGGAGGATATTGCTTTTTGTGAAGTTTACCTTGAAATTGGAGAGGGCATTATAGAGATTGATTTCACATAGAGGTGCGGGCATAGAGGTGAGAGGGTCAGTTATTGTAAAGAGGAGATCGTCTGCAAATGGTGCGATTTTTGTATTCTCCATCTCCTACTTGAAGGCCGTGGATGGCCGTGTTGTCTCTAATGCCCTGGAGGATGGGTTCCATTATGAGGATGAAGAGTAAGGGGGAAAGAGGACATCCCTGATTTGTGCCGTTACTGATTGTGACTGGTTCAGAGAGTTGACCATTTATTCTAATCTTGGCCCTGGGTCTGGAATACAATGCCTTCATCCATTGTAGCCAGATTTGACCAAATCCCATGTGGCCCCAAGCGTCTCAAAGAGGAGGGACCATTCCACCCCGTTGAAGGCCTTCTCTGCATCAATGGGGAAGAGCATATTCTGTGTGTTGGTACGTTGGGCTAGGTAGATTAGGTTAATCATTTTAGAAGTATTGTTTTTCGCCTCCCTTTCCGAGACAAAGTCCGCTTGATCAGGGTGGACTACTCCCTGTAACAACGGGCGTAGGCGGTTGGCCAGGATTTTAGTAAAAATGTTTAAATCAATATTTATTAAAGAGATAGGCCTGTAGCTCCCACAGCTCAGGGGGTCCAGGGCTGAGTTTGGAAATGTGGGATCGTGTGTTAGGGAGTTGAAGGCCTTAATAAATGGGTCTGCTAGAATCTCTCTAAAGGTCTTATAATATTTGGCTGTAAAGCCGTCTGGGCCTGGGCTTTTTCTGAGGGGGAGGTGTTTGACTGCCTTTGTAAATTCAGCCTTAGAGATAGGCGCGTCGAGGGCTTGTTGGGTGTTGGTGGGTATGGTGTGGCTAATTCTGTTCGCGAGGCCGGACAGATTTCCCCCAACATAAAACCCAAGGGCCCAAAGGGCATAGGTGCTTTTGTTTTTCCGTGAGGCTATGCTTCTGTTTCAGTTCGTACTATTGTGCATTTTCAGTGGAAAGTACGGCAGCAATGTCAGTGAGGTGTTGGTAGATTGCAGCCTGTAGGAGGTGGGATGCGTCTGGTTGGGCCCTATTCCGCTGTCAGCATTTGTGGTGATAGTGTCCCAATATGTCCCGGTAAATCAGTGTTAAGGCTGTGCCATTTATTCCGTCTGGAGATGTTAGGGGTGTAGGTTTTCTTTATTCCCTGTGGCTCATTTCTCCTCCTTTTGGATGGGGACTGCCACTTCGTGCGTTGCGGAAGTTGCATCTGTGAAGAGTTTGGCATTGAGCTGTACCAGTCCATCACGGCTACCTCTGTGAGATCCAGTGCTTGTGTGAAGGTAGAGACATTGTGTATAGAGGATAGGGTATGCGTTACTCCCTGGTGTGATGCTATGAGCGCGAATGGGAAGCGCCAGCAATATCTGAGTTGGTCTGCAATGGGGTGATCTGCAGGATTCTTCGTGCATTCAGCGTTGCCAAGGAGAGGTCTGGGTATATTTGTAAGGTCACTCCGTGGAATAAGAGCGGCTGGGAGGTTTGATGCAGGGCCTCTTTTTGGGTGTAATACTGTAATCTGTAGATAACATCTCGTGGGGCTGCAGTGGGGGCTCCTCTGGATTTGAGGGCCCTATGCGCCCTGTCAAAGAGCACTTGGTGTGTCGGGGGTTTTTCCATTAGGAGATTACATAGCTCCATCAGGGTAGTGATTAGGTTTTCTTGCTCCCTCTCTGGCAGACCTTTGATACGTAAATTATTGCGCCTACCCCTATTGTCAATGTCATCTAGTGATCTGTGTAAGGCTGAGAGGTCGTGGGAGTGTGATGATATAGTGGCCTGAAGCTGTTGCATCTGTTTGTGCAGCATGTCTCTGTCACCCTCGAGGGAGGTAAGTCTGTCCCCCACATGGCGTACCTCTGTTTCAATGTGCTCAAACCTCGATTGCAAAGTGGCTTCCAGCCTCCCCAGCATGTTGGCCAGGTCTCCTTTAGATGGCAGATTCCTGATGGCTTTTCTGATATCCATATCAGGGATGTATGTGGATGCTGTGGATCCCTCTGGGCTTGATGGTACCGAGCCATCGTGCGAGGATTCTGCCGCCATTTGCTTAGGCGCGCCATGTTGGGAGTCCACATTATCGTGGAAAAACTTTGTAAGTGCCCCTGATTTGCCTGGTGGGGGTTTCCCCGATGTCTGTTGGGAGGCCAGGGATCTTTTTGGGTGACCCATAGTGAGTTTTTAGCCTGATGAAGAATGGTGCTGAAGAATTTTTCGGAGCTCCTTTACTGCACGCCCATTCAGCACGGACGTAGTGTTTTGTATTGCTTATTTCCAAGCAGGAAAGAAATTGGTCCACTTATATTTCTCTCCCACCTCAACATGTACGGGGGCTTCCCAGTGTCACCCAGGGCCATAAGAGTGGTATAGCAGAGGGACAGTGTTTTGGAGCTAGGTAGATTTCCCATACACTTTTGAGCAAAAGATGGGAGTGATTTAATATCAAAAGCTTTAACGTGATTGTCATGTAGGATATTTTTAAAACGTAGGTAAGCAAACAGTTCCCTAGGCGATAAAGAGAATTATTTTTGTAGATCAGGGAATGGATTAATACCTGTGTTGCTGCATATGGCGTGAACCAAAGTGGCTCCCCCCCTGTTTTCAGGAGGCCAGATGTAGGTCCTGTGTAAGTGAGGTAATGGTTTGTAAGTGTGCGGCGCATAGGAAACTGTTGGTGTCTATTATTGTTGGGATGATCTGTCTGCACATGTGGAGTAGGAGTTTGGTGGAGGGCAGCATGCTTTTGTTTCTTTCGATCTTTATGAATCTAGCCCAAAGAGCGTGCTCCACTGTGCCCTGTGCAATATAGGAATTTTCCAGACAAAGCCGTATCGGGGATGAGGGTCTTTCTACTATTGACAAGGTCTCGATTAGTGATGCTTTATAGTACATTTTTGCATTTGGGATACCCAGTCCACCCATAGTGTAGGGGAGCCATAATGGTTTTTGTGCTATACAAGGGGGTTTTATTTTCCATGTGTGCATTGATAAGTTTTTGGAGTTTTCTCAGTAAAGAGTTTGGTAAAGCAATCAGCAGTGTTCTAAAAAAGTACAGAATATGTGGTAGGATCAACATTTTTACTCCTCCCATGCCTTTAGTTGAGAATCTAGTTTATGTAGAAGAGGTAAGTGGTTTTCTTTCACTATTTTATTTTGTGATTTAGTCATTTTAATGCCAAGGTAAGAAGGGTTAGTCAGCTTGTATGTACCATATTAGTGGGTAACCGTATCACTAGTGGTTGGGTTTTTTTAGAGTTGTTTTTGTAATTGGATATCTGTCCATAACTGTCTAGGAGATTTAAGAGATATGGGAGTGATGAAATTAGGTTGGTCAGGAATAGCAATACATAGTTGTCAGGATTACGAATTGATCCAGCACGGAGAATTGTGTCACATCTAGGACTAAAAGGTAACATATTACCGGGCCTTAAAATGGCCGGACTTAACGCACCAAAGAATAGTCAGGATACTTGCCGAGGTCAGGGAACACAGAATGGGACTTAACAATAAGCCTGAAGTCAAGGATACCAGAATACAGGGAAGACAAACGAAGCCAAAGTCAATAACCAGAAATAAACGCTCAGGAACACACTCTTGGACAGCCACAAGGGAAACCATGACAGGGCAATAAGGAAAAGTAAATTTGAGCTTAAATAAGTGCTTTACAGTTCTGATTGGCCCAAAGCAGCCTTTTCGATTGCTTCAACCTCCAGTATGAAAGGTGTGCTGGTGTCGGGGTATCTCAATATCTCAGCTGAGGCAAACCTTTGTTTGAGAAGTTCAAAAACCTCTCTAGGCTCTTTAGACCATATCATACTGCTAGCCCCCTTGTGTGACATATTGGTGATGGGGCTATCACAGAAGAGAACCCTTTGATAAATCTCCTGTAATAATTGGCAAACCCAATAAACCTTTGCATGGCTTTCAGTCCATTGGGAAGTGGCCAATGTAGAACAGCTTCAAGTTTCTGAGGGTCCATCTGAAACCCAGAGGCAGGAATGTTATACCCCCAAAACGGTACTTCTGTTTGATCAAAGATGCATTTTTCCCAGTTTACAATAAAGTTGATTTTCCAGTAAGGTTTGCAACACTTGTTTGACATGCTCGTGGTGAGTCTGAAGGTCAGGGACATAAATAAGGATATCATATAGATAGACTAAGATAAATGAGTAAATATAATCTCTGAGTACATCATTAATGAAGTCTTGGACAACAACCAGAGCATTACACATCCCGAAGGGTATCACAAGGTACTCATATTGCCCACTTCTGGTATTAAATGCAGTTTTACACTCATAGTTTTCCTTAATCCTTACCAAATTCTACGCACTCCTAAGGTCAAGTTTAGTAAAGACTTTAGCACCCTGGAGTCTGTCAAACAATTCGGAAATGAGGGGAATGGTGTAGGCATTTTTAATGGTGATTTTGTTGAATGCTCTGTAGTCAATGTATGGACGTAACTCACCATCTTTTTTAGACACAAAAAAGAATCCTGCACCAGCAGGCGAGGATGTATATGGCCCTTACTCAAAGAGTCCTGATATACTCCTCCATTGTTCTACTCTCCTGTGGAGATAACGCATATACTGCTCCCTTGGGTGGCATCGCACCGGGTAGCAGATTTATGGAAAAGTCAAATCTTCTGTGAGGAGGTGGAATGTTGGTCTGAGTTTTGATAAATACCTCCTTAACTTCCCAGTATTGTATGGGAACTTCGGAGGTTTGAGGCACAGTAGTGGGTAATATAATGATGCCACTCTATTGGTAATGTGTAACATACACGTCTCAGTACAATCCTTGCCCCATTCCAATATTTCCCCATTAGCCCAGTCAATATGAGGATTGTGCTTAGTAAGCCAAGGAAAGCCTAATATGATGGGA